TCAACAATTCTATACATTACTGAGAGCATGGAGAATTTTGATTATAAAATTGCCTTGTTTCCTTGAATAATTCTTCCATAAACTAAGCATTTAAGTAATTATTTATGACAAATTGCAAACAAAAGTAGAATTGCAAAAAAAATGTGGAGATAAAAATGTAATTTAAAAATTGAAGAAAAGTAGAAAAATATCATAAATTTCAATGAAACAGTTACACAGTCAATGATTATCAACTATGGTTCCTCATGTTTGGTCATAGAACATCCTTAACCTAGATTTTGCTTATTTTATACTTCTCCTCCAATGTGTTTTTTCCTACTTTGTGACATCTATTTATCATACTGGATCCTTTCCATTTTCATTAATCCTTCAGTAACAGTGACAGTTACATCCAGACCCACTGGTTGCCCAAAAACACTGTGAATGGATTTTTCTTGACTTTCTTCCCTTTTCCCTGGAAACTGTTTTCCTCCGTCTTAGATAAAGTTTCTGTTGATATCTTTTTCAAAAAAAGTTTTTATTTATTTAAGTAATCTCTGCCCAAAGTGGAACTTGAACATACGACCCTGAGATCCAGAGTCATATGATCTGACTGAGCCAGCCAGGTGCCCCGATGTCTAACATACATATGAAAATGTGCACGGATTATAGAGATAAAGCTGAGTGGATTTCTATAAGTTAAACACAAGTAGCACTCAGATCAAGTAAACAAAACATGACCAGAGCTATGGAATTCTCATGTTCCAGCACTGACCCCTCCCAAGGTAAAATCTATCTTGGCTCCTAACCTTATAGATTAAGTTTGCTTATATTTGAGTGTTACATGCATTGTAACATAAAGTATAGAATCTTTTGCTGAAGATTATTCTATTGTATAAAAAAGCACAACTTATTCTTTATACTGTGGATGGGCATTGAGTTTGTTTGGAGCCCTCATTCTCTTAGGACCCTCAAGTTGTTTTCAGTCTGTTGCTGTTATAAACAATGTTGCAGTGAATAACCTCAGTTATGTTTCATTGTCACCTATGAAAATACGTTTTTCAAATGTCAGAATATATAGTATTTAGAAGTGGGAATCCTAGGTTCAGAGAGTATATGCATTTGTAATTTTCCCTTACAAGCAACCTTGCCCTACTGCTGGAAGATTCTTTACTTCTGAAATCCATTCATCTCTTGGCTGCCTGAAGTCCATCGACTGGTAGTTCTCTCAAGAAGGACTCATGGGAACAATATTTCCTGAGTTCTTTCAAGATCAAAATTTTTCTTGAGCTTTTATTCTTTCAAACATAACTTGGATAAATAGAAAAATCCTTGACTCAAACTTTGTTTTGCTTTTTTGTCTTTTTGTCTGACTGTTGCTATAGATAAACTGAGACTTCATTTCTTTTTTTCCTGAAACTCAATTACTTTACTAGAATATGTTTTAGTGCTAGCCATTCTGATATTTTAATATGTAGATTTAAATCCTTAATTCCAGGAAAATTTTCTAGAATTTTATTTTTAAATATTTTTCTATTCCATGATTTGGGGTTTTTTCTTTTGGGGTAACCAGTTAAATATGTTGCATCTCCTTAGTCTATCTTTCATAGCTATCATTTTCCTTCCAGATCATTTTTAATAGTTTTATTGACAATTCACATACCATTAAATTCTTCCAGTCACAGTTCAATAATTTTAAGTATATTCAGAGAGTTGTGCAACCATCACACAATCAATTTTAGAATTTTTATCACCCCCCACAAAGAAACCCCATATTGATTAGCAGTCACTCCCCATTCCTGCATGCCCTCAGCCTTAGGCTAGTTTCTGTTAATCTACTTCTTGTCTCTATGGATTTGCCTATTTTATACATTCCATATAGATGCAATCATACAATATGTGACCTTTTGTGAATTGCTTCTCTCACTTAGCCTAATTTTTCAAGGTTTATCCTGTTGTAGCATGTATCAGAACTTCATTCCTTGTTATCAATGAATAGTATTCTATTGTATGGAAGTACCACATTTTGTTTATCCTTTCATTAGGTGATGGGCATTTGGGTTGTTTCCACTGTTTGGCTATTATGAATCATACTGCTGTGACTATTCATATATAAATTTTTGTGTGGATTGCGTTTTTATTTCTCTTGGGTACATATCTAGGAGTAAAACTGCTGGGTCATGTGGCTGCTCTGTGTTTAACATTTTGAGGAACTGCCAAACTGTTTTTCAAAATGACCACACCATATTTTATTCCCACCAATGTGTGATGGTTCCAATTTCTCTAAATCCTTGCTAACACTTGTTATTATCTGTCTTTGTTATAGTCATCCTAGTGGGAGTGAAAGATATCTTATTGTGGCTTAAATTTGCATTTTCCTGATGGTTCATGATGTTGAGTATCTCTGCACGTGTTTATCAGTCATGTGTATATCTTCTTTGCAGACATCTCTATTCAAATCTATTGTCCATTTTTAAATCAAGTTATTTGTCTTTGTATTATTGAGTTGTAAATGTTCTTTGTACATTCTGGACACAAGTCACTTGTCAGATATATGATTTACAAACATTTTCTTCCATTATGTGACTTGTCTTTTCACTTTCTTTAGGGTGTCTTTGGAAGCACAGAAATTTTAATTGATGAAGTTCCAATTTATCTATTATATTCTTTCGCTTGTGCATTTGGTGTTCTATCCAAGAAGCCATTGCCTAACTCAAGATCATGAAAATTTACTCCCATGTTCTTATAGGAATTTTATAGTTTCACCTCTTACATTCAGGTCTATAATCCATTTTATGTTAATTTCATTTTATGGATTGAAGTAGGGGTACAGCTTCATTCTGGGTGGTTCAGTCGGTTCAGCATCCGACTCTTGATCTCATGAGATTGAGGGTCATGAGATTGAGGCCCCACATGGAGCTCTGTGCTGGTCATAGAGCCTACTTAAAAAAAAATAAATGAATAAAAGAGTTGAAATGGATAAAAATGAGGACTAAAAATTACTTTAGAATTGATTATTAAGAAGTCAATACTTCAAGAATTCAATTTTGGGGGGTGTCTGGCTGCCTCAGTAGGACGAGCTTGTGACTCTTGATCTCAGGGTTGTGAGTTTGAGCCCCATGTTGGGTGTAGAGATTACTTAAAAAAAAAAATTCAATTTGGTTCATCAAGGAGAGTGGAAGCCAATGTCATTATACTAGAGATTCGATCATGAGTATATAAAAAAATAGCAAGTGCAGAAGTAAAAGAGAGATAAAATTGGAGAGTTAGTGGTATAATAGAAGAAAAGAGAAGTTTTATTTTTCTCCCAAATGAAAAGGATTTTACATGTTTGTAAAGAAAGGAAGAAGCCATGGGGGAGGGTAAGAGATTGAGGGTAAGGGAATGGTGGAGAAGCGAAGAGGAGAAAGTTGTTTTCCCAGTGCCAGGGAAATTTTGCCCAAGAGTTAAGAGGAGAATAGAATATACCCCCTGGGTAAGAGAGAGAATGCTACCATTAGATGAGCAGGGAGCCTTTTCCTTCTGGATCAGAGGGCAGGATGAAGAATTGCATGTGAATACAACTGGAGAAGAGGATGCCACCCAAGGGGGTTCCTGTGAGATGCCCTGGCTCTTCTTAGGAAAACTAGAATTTGTTGTGGGAATTTCTAGGAATAATAAAAGATGAATAGAAGTACTGAAGAGCCCCTGCAGAGGCTCCTTCAAGATGCATGAATCTGTAACAGGCCCATTGGTTATATTTTCATGACCTCTCCAGGAATACTCTCCATGAGAAGTTGGATTAAGGGGCTAATCTAGGTTTAGTCATTGTCTTGGCTCCAGCCAAGGGCATTAAGTGCAAAGTATGTTAGTGAAGTCAGCATTAGAGTGGATAAAAGCATCTTTGGCTGGTGATCTATTATAGCATTCTGAATCCTGACCCTGACTCTTCAACAAAAGAGAGGTGTCCTCCATAGTAATTCTGCAAAGAGAATCACCAGGAATCTAACCTTCCTTGTGTCCCACTCCCTGTTGTCAATCTTATCATAATGAAATGTGTACAGATTTGTCAGATATTGCCTTGAATATATGTTTAAGGTTTGCAGGTTTGGCCACTGAAGTTGGAAATCATTTATCTGCATCAGTAATTCTGATTAAAGTTCAACATGTGTGTGTAGTTGGGGGTTAAGTCAAACTCTCTTTGGGGGGAGGAAAAAGGAAAAAAATGTATTGTCCATTGGTCATGGGAAAGGCAACCCTCTCATGGTGGGTGGCATTACTGGAAGACAGAGGTAATGGCTGCCCAGGAGACAATGAGGTTTTTTTTTTTTTATAAAGATTTTTTATTTATTTATTTATTTATTTATTGAGAGAGAGAATGGTAGAGAGAGATCATGAGAGGAAAGAAGGTCAGAGGGAGAAGCAGACTCCCTGCTGAGCAGGGAGCCTGATGCAGGACTCGATCCCTGGACTCCAGGATCATGACCTGAGCTGAAGGCAGTCGCTTAACCAACTGAGCCACCCAGGCACCCGACAATGAGGTTTTAAATGAAGCAAGTTAGAGAAATATTTTCCTTTACAGGAACTAACAAAAGGATAGTACAGTCAAAAAAAAGGAAAGCAGAATCAAGTCTTATTTTAACTGGTCAGTGATAGACGTATCTATGAAGCCACTGTGCAAATGTAGGAAAGGGGGTCATCATGCTGCATTATATTGTGCTTTTTTTGGTCACGTATATTGATATAGTGTACTCACCAGTGACTGTAATATATTTGGATATATGTATATCCAAGTAATAGGTAGACAGTTAGATAATAGATATCCCAGAATGAATATATATTCAAATATATATTACTTTTTCCTTCTTCTCAAGCAACATAGAAAAACCCAGAATGAATATAAACATATTCATATATAAATGTATTCATTCTGGGCTTTTCTGTTTTGCTTGGAAAAGTGGAAGAACCTAATTATTTTTACTTCATCCCAAACACCAAGAGTATTGTTGGCTCATCTCTGATACTCATCCCAATTATTGCAGTTACCAGTCTGGACGCAGTAGTACCCAGGAAGATATTTTCCCTCATACACTCCCTTATCTCCAACAGAGGATTCACTGGAATAAATTAAACCAAGAATGTGAAGTATTGTGAGGTTTGTCTGCTATTTATTGCTATGTAACTAACAGTCCACTCAAACCTTAGTGTCTTGAAACATCTATAATTCATTATTTGCCATAATTTTGCTGTTGGCTGGCATAGCTGGGTGGCTGTTGTTCTCCATTTGGGCTTATCTGGAGTTGCTCAGGCAGCTGTAGCCATTTGGAGGCGTGAATGGGGCTGGATGATTCAAGATGGCCTCACATACATGTCTAGTGGTCGGTGCTGGCTCTCAGCTCCCCATGGGGTTCCGGGTAGCTGGACCTCTTTGCATGGTGGCTTGGATTCCAAGAGTGTGAAGTGAAGCTGCAAAGCTTACGGCCTAGGCTCTGGCACTCACACAATGTCACTTATACCTCATGCTGTCTGTCAAAGACAAGCATAAAGCCAACCCAGGGTCACATGTGGGAGCAGACAGGGGCGCCTGGGTGGCTCGGTTGAGCACCCGACTCTTGATTTTGGCTCAGGTCATGGTCTTGGGGTGGTGGGATCGAGCCCCACCTCAGGCTCCCCACTCAGTGTGGGGTCTGCTTGAGATTCTGTCTTCCTGTCCCTCTGCCGCTCCCCCCACTTGCTCTCTCACTCTCTAAAAATATAAAATCTTTTTTAAAAACGTGGGAGCATCCTGAGCTGCCACTTACTGATGAGAGCAATTGTAAAGATTCTGTGGACATCTCTAACTCCTCACAAAGGGATTAAACAGAATTCCATCTGTAAAATGCGTACTGGCATATCTGGCCCAAAGCAAATCATTTCAAAAGGTTAATTGTTGCTATTGTTTTATTAGCTTTTTCCTCCTGAATAAAAAGCACTTTTCCTGGGTAAGGAATAAGGGAGTTTTTCTTTAGATAAACTGGAAGTGGATCAAAATATGTAAGACAAAAAAATATGTAAGACAAAAATATTAAACAACCCATATAGGATTCTTTGAATTAGTATTAAATACCTGAGCATATATGTCATATACGAATTTGAGGTGTTTCGGAGAAAATATTTGGTTGGCATGTGAGTAATTTGATAGACCTAGGGTAAGAAGAAAACAAAAGAAAATTTAAAATGGTATAAAATTTTAAAAGTGTCCCACGTACAAAGTTCTGGGGACGTAAAAAGTATTACCCATCCCCAACCCTCCCGCCTTGTACTTTGCTGGATTGTTGATCTTTCACTCCATCTTCTCTTCTATTGCTTTCTCAGGAATTAGAGAATAAAATCCCCTCATAATGTTTCTCAGTAGTGACACCAATCCAGATGAAGACAGGGCGGTGGCAGAGTCTCTCGGATGTTCGGTAGGTGCTTACAATTCTGTAATACTCCACAGGGGAAACTTGACATTTCAAAAATGGTGAAAATTTGAGCTACTGAAAACCTGGTGGCATACTTGGGGGGCCCCAGGGAATAGGAACATTCCACTTCACTGACTTATGCTCTTTTGTCACAGTGAAATGCAGCACTTCCTCAGGCAGGAAAGTGGGAGAGCTAAGTTGTTTTCATGATAATGGCAGTTGTTAAAAAGCCATTCACCCACCTTAGCCCACTTTGTATTTGTTGCTCTCGCACAGAACAGCCTAGGATTGAAGGAAAACTGCACTGGGGCCAATGACCTAAATTTGGGCTCTCACTTTGGCCTTTCTGGCCTTCCAACTAGTTCCTTAAGTATAATGGAGTTAGTAAGCAAGATGCTCTAGAAAGTGAGATTTTATTCCTTCAGTATAGGATTTTAGATAAGGAAGGTACTCTGAGGAAATCTGTTGTCTTCTCTGCCAGCAACTATTCCTAAACACTCCACAAATGTATCTACTTGCTTTGGTAAAATATTCCAGCGAATGAGGACTATTAGAGCTTCCTTTGCACTGCATTCCCGAACATTCTGAACCCTTTGGACACCAGGATGAAGCTTTGATATCTGCATTATCTGGCTCTCTTTCTTCCTTAAAAAAAAATGTAGCCTTACTCAAAACAAAGGTTGCAACCCTCCACAGCTCTCTCTCCATGACAGCTCATCATACTTTATATTGGAAAGATCTTACAGACTTCAGGGTCCAAGTCTGACGGGCCCATTTCATGGTTTAAGTGGGGCGTCTAAATAATACCCCTTTCTGGGAATGACTGTGAGATTTGACACTGCCACCCTTAAGTCGGGTTAGTTAGGCAGAGATATCTTCCGAAGACAGATACTTCTGTTTTCATGGTTACTTGGTATCCTTTTTGTTCTTAGGGTTTTTGGGTCTACCAATTACATTTTCATCCAATCTCATGACTTCCCGCCTCTTCCCCTCCACAGCTGCCAGAATTGTATGCTTTTGTTGAGGATTTTAATAAGGACAGCAAGAAATCAAATCTCCTAAAAACTCACAGTATTTCACCTGGTGAAGCTCAGAAAATGCTTAGTCAAAACCTGCATGCCATGTCATTCACCAGTGGAACTGATGATATGAGGGGAGAACACCTCCAGCCTGTTTTCGTGTGCAAGGTGGTGAGAAAAGAAGAAGAGAAACCAGACTCTATGACCGAACTGCTGTACCGAAGCTTGTTGACCAGCTCACTCTCTCCGGTGGAGAGACTCACCAGATCCCAGCAGAGGCTCTTTCAATGTGGGATTCCTCCTCCTGCACACACTTTTCCCTATGAGATTCTCATCGATCACTCCAAATCTTTGTCACCCGTCCCTGTCCCCATAGACGAGAAGACTCAGAGTGCCAACATATTACACATGCTCGGCATTTCCAGGATCAGGCCAGAAAATTTTATCTTTGAAGACAAAATTGCTAAGTACTTCTTAGTTGATCCAGGTAATCTAAACAGACGAGGCTCTGTAGGGGGAAATTCGTGGAAATCTTACTGCAAAGTTTATTTAGGTTATGAGAGCCGAAATAGTCAAATGGTGACCCATGGGAATCTTGCAGTCCTGGGACTCATGGCTGATGTGCTTGCTGCCTACAGTGCCAATGTGAGGTAGAGAACAGAGACTCGAACATTCCAGGGTCCGGTCTCAGGTCCAGTCTCGCGAAGGAGTATTATGGATGTGGTACTTAAAGTCACCTTTATAAAATTAGCTAGTTAAACTTGGACTCTAAGTCACCCGTAACTATTATGAACTTAGCTAAATATTTACTGAATAATGGCTTATTTTCCTTAAGTATCTTTGCTTTAGTGCAATTGAGAAGGGTATTTTTAGATATTTTTTCAGGAACCTTTACTCTTTCTTTACCGATACATCTCTACAAACAACAAAAGGAAACTCCTCCCTTCATTTCTCACACTTTAATAGGAAGATGTTCCTTAAAAAACAGACTATTCAGAGAAAGTTACAAATATGTAAAATATATCATGGTGAGTTTCAATGAGAAGGGGGTGTCTTATAAGGTCTTCATTTTCCTTAATTTGAGGGAGGTAATAATTTGTCATTCTATGTAGCTGTAAAAAAAATAGATTAAGTCAATGACATAAAATATTTAAACCTTCCTGAAGTAGGTTCTTGACTCAAGATAAAACCATTTGCACAGCAAATATTTTGACAGTACCATTTTTATACTAAAAGTAGTGAGAGAGACAGAGGAACAAATTCAAAGGCATAGATTGATTACTGGCTCACATTTGGTCCAAGATGCTGGAACAGTCTTTGCTGTAACTCCCCACACTGATGTCTTGACAGTCTAATGCAGGTTTCAAATCCCTTTGATAGAGTTATACTTTGTGTGTACTGGAACCCAGGCAGAAGTAGAAATCAGGGCAGTTATAAGAATGACCTAGATAATCCACAGAAGTGCATAAGGTAAAGTCTGGGACCAGAGAGGAAAACACATGGAAAGTATTAGGAATCAATTAGTACTGCCAAAGAGACTATTGAAAAAGTACTGAGGGCTTTGGATGTTTGATAGTATGTTTATGGTTTTGCCATCCACAGGAGCCAAATTGTCCTTTTTTCCCAACGCGTGGCTTGCCTCCTGGCTACCTAACTTCTAGAGGTCTCTCTTGTGGCCTTCCAGACTCTGTTGGAGTTTCTTCTCTGTCTTCATGACTTCATTTCCTCAGATCCTGTAGGTAGAATTTCAAGTACATATCCTGTCTATCCAAGGAATATGCGTGAAGCCAGGTCGGCATCCATATGAAGAATATCCAGTAATTTCTTAGGTTTAATTGGTATTGCAGCAATTCATCTTTTATTCTCCTATATTGCCCAGTATTACTATCATTTTATCAGCCAGCCAGTCCCTAAAGTATTCTCAGCCCAGAAGAACTTTAGGACTCTTGGTATATCAAAGAATATTATAGAACATATCCTTATTAGCACCAAGCACTGGGGAAAGAAAAGAGAATGGGTGTTGCCATTTTGTTCTTCTATCATACCAGCTCCTCTTGCTCAGGCTAAATTCTGTGGGACCATGTGTTTGACCAAAAATGACAGAGAAACCAAATAAAGATTATTTTTCTTATATACTTAGAAGGCTGGAAGTAGGCAGACAAGTGTTGGAGCAATGCTTTTTGATATTGTCGAGGACCCGGGCTCCACCAACTTTTTGTGTATGGCTTTTGTCTTCACGGCCAAAGGATGTCTCCTTCACCTCCAGGTACTATGGCCACATTCGAGGCAGGAAAAGGGGCTAAGATGAAGGGCCACATTGGTTACTTCTGTCCTCTTTTAATAGGGAAGCAAAACTTTCTCAGAACACTCCTCCTCCAGTGACTTCTCCCTACATCTCATTGGTCAGAATTGTGTCCAATAGCCACCCCTTACTGCTGGGTGGTGAATAGAGATCTTAGCTTTTTACCCTCTATAGTAGAGGAAGGCAGAAGAGGATTGCAATGGGTGTGCAGTGAGCCAACCTATAGTATCTACCATAGATCACAACATAAAGCTCTGGTAGTAATCAAAATCATCAACTCTGTGGCCTTCTCTTGTCAAATATCCCTTTCCTTCCTTCTATAACCAGATCTTCCAATGCCAAGTCTGCCAAGATCTTGTCAAACTCCCTGACACTTGGTAATTGCCCTTAGGGAGACACTGCTGACTACCAATGTTCAACACCAGTAGCTTGCTCCAGTATCTGTTCCACTAGGGAAGGTATGAACTCAAGGAACAGTCCCTGGTCTCAGCCTCCTATTTCAGACATGTACAGAATATATACCGAAACTCAGGCTCTTCCAGGACAGAGATGGAGGCCTGATTGGCATAGGGGCCATATCTGGACCATAGCTGACCTGCTCAAATATCACCATACAGGGAGAATGATCAGAGAGAATTAAACCAGCCTTCCTGCTTGTTTGCTGTACCCATTGTTCTCCTTGTACTCCTCATACTCATCTCCTTGACTCTGGCCTCTGGTTTTATACTCAAGTCTCTGCCTCAGGCCTTGCTCTTTTTTTTGTTCTTTTTGGGGGGTGGTGGTGGTTTACATTTTAGGTGGTCATTAAGGAAACTGAAAGGAAGGGAAAGGAAAATGCTGAATAGGAGAATATGCAGTGTTTCTTGGCCTGATTTCCATGGTTCATTGGCTTCTTGAAGGGATTGTAATTACTAGTGACACCTGAAGTTGGTAAGTCCTGAAAGAGTAGCTAGCCACTGCCCTTTATACCCAGGGCTTACACCAGCATCTTGGAAGAAATGACACTAACAATCTATGTACTTCTGACTAATCTTTGTCCTTGTTTTAAGCCCTCATTACAATCCTTTTCTCCTCCCTCTTGATCTTGGTGCTCTGTAGATCTCTCCATTTGTCCATTATTAGTATCCAGGCACTGAATTGAGCGCCCCTCCACCTGCTATGGCCCTGCAGTGTACACTCCAGCCCAGTTAGCCAGGCCCACCCAGTTTCCCATTTGGAGGAGGGCTTTAGATCAGATGAACACCATAAGTGCCCGCTTCATTTATAAAGCTCTACAAACAGCTTTCTACCAGAAGGGAGAAGGAAACTCAAGTTCATCAAAGGTTCATTCTGTCCATGAAGGATCTCTGAATAACTGAAGGTTAAATAACACCTTCATGTAATTCTTTGAAAATATGATTCTTTGCAGAAAAACAATTCATGGATCTAAGGGATCTGGAATGGAGATACTACAAGGGGCTTGTGTCGTGGAAGCACAGTACTTTAGATTCATTCATAGACATAAATTACGACAGTGAGAAGAGATTTGTGGCGAACCAGCCGATGCCTGGTGTCATTTACACCCCCGCAGTTCGTAGGTCTTTAGTCATTTGCCCTTAAATTGATTATCCAAAAAAAAAAAATGCAGCTTCTTCTTAAATAAAATATGTAGTTTACTAAACTATTTTGGATATGGATTTTGTTTTTGAGAACATTGAACTTATATGTGCAAAGTAAATAAGCAGATGGAACATAGGAACAGAGTCTATACGATATTCATGTAAAGTCCAAAATTAAACCATTAATATAGAGAACAAGATTCAGATTGATCTGCTTATATAAGACCAGGTTTGGACCAGTGAAGCCCATCTGGACCAGGGCTGAGGTAAATCTAGATCATGTGAAAAGTAAGGGCACCTATGAAGAACAACTACCAAGCAAGAATAGCTCTTTAAAATGTTCTACACACATGAAGAAGTGTATTATCATTTAAAAAAAGTTGGTAAATTCAACAAATCAAAGAATTAATCCCTGAGGATTTAGAGATCAATCTGAGAACTTAAAAGTAATACATTAACTGCTTAAAGACATGAGGAAGGAAGTAGCATTTACAAAACAAGAACAGGAAGATTTGGGAAAAAAACAAATTGGAAATCTTGAAAGTGAAACATTTAATTATTGAAAGTAAAACAATAATCATAATAACCCTCAATAAATTATCACAATGGTATACTGGATGTATCTTAAGAGAAAGGATTAATGACTTAAAAGAGCACTGAGAGAGAAGTTTCTAGATCATGGTGCAATAAGACCAAAGGAGCAAATTCTGAAAGAAGGATCGTGGAGGGTAGAATGAGAAGTTTAGAAGTCTAGCCAGTGGAAGATGCAGAAGAAAATAGGGTGAATGGCGATGTTGGAAAATGAAATGACTGATAATTTTCCGGAAATGGTATGAATGAAAACTTGAATGGAAAACCTCACTGAATGATTGGCAAGAAAATAAAAATAACTCTCTACCCAGAAACACCATAGCATAACTGCACCACAGTAAGCAAGAAGGGAAAATACAGAGAAGATGATGCATTGCACACGCACAAGTGACAGATCAACAGCGGAGCTTCCGTTAACAACACACGTCAGACGGCAATGGTGTCACATACTCAGAATGCTGAAGGGAAACACCTGGCAGCCTGAAATTCACCAGCCAGCCAGATGCTCTTCAAAGAGCAGGGTTAAAATAAATACATTTTAGAAAAATGTAAAAGCCGAAGCTCTTTACCACCCACAATCTCTTACTGAAAAAACCACTAGCAAACTATGTACTCTAGCAAGAACTGGGAGGAGTTCAAGAAATAATGGTGAACAAATAAATGATCAATAATATATCTGTGTGGTTGTGTAGATACTAAAATATAATTCTGGAATCGAGTTCCTGATATTTTATTTAGAAAACATGCTTCCATTTGGGGCGCCTGGCTGGTTTATTCAGAGGAGCAAGCAACCCTTGACTTGGGGGTTGTAAGTTCAAACCCCACAGTGGATGTAGAGATATTTAAAAATAAAATCTTTTTAAAAAATTTTTAAAAGAGGGGCGCCTGGGTGGCTCAGTTGGTTGAGCATCTGCCTTCGGCTCAGCTCATGATCCCAGGGGCCTGGGATCGAGCCCCTCATCGGGCTCCCTGCTCAGGGGGTCTGCTTCTCCCTCTCCTCCTGTTTATGCTCTCTGTTGCTATCTTTCTCTCTCTCTCTCCCAAATAAATAAATAAAAGCTTAAAATAAAATAAAATAAGATTAAAAATTTTTAAAAAAGAAAATTTGCCTCAATTTAAGTTTTTATCCTGTAGTTTCCTATTTGGGCACTATTTTTTAAAATCAGATTTTGCCTTCAGCATACTGGATATCTTCAGCAGGAGATACTGTCTAGAAATGGGCATGAAGGGGATTTCTAGGGTGCTCATAATATTCTGTTTTTTCATCTGTGTGCCCAAGTGTGTTGAGCATGCAAAAATTCCCCCAGCTATGTACTCACAACTATAAACTTTTCTTCATGCATGTTATAGTTTTTTAAAAAAAGTTTTAAAAAGTTGTCTGACCTTCATACAATGAATTGGAGGGGGCTCATCTTATGTGTGAAGCCATAGCTATTGAAATATTGGAAATATTTATTCTTTAAAATCTAGCTAGCACTCAGCTATAAAACCATGTAGTCCTGACATCTTTCTTCCCATTTTTACTATGAAAATATTTAAACAGTCATAAAAATAAATAAAATTGTGTAATAAATGTACACATACTCATCACCTAGCTTCAACATTTATTAAGATTTTCCCAATGCGGCGCTCCTGGGTGGCTCAGTTGGTTAAGCATCTGTCTTCAACCCAGGTCATGATCCCAGGGCCCCGGGATGGAGCCCCCACATCTGGCTGCCTGCTTAGCAGGGAGTATACTTCTCCCTCTCCCTCTGCCCCTGCCCCCTGCTCATGCTCGCTCTGTCTCACATGCTTTCAAATAAATAAATCTTTAAATAAATAAAACTGTCTCTCTCTCTCAAATAAAAAAAATCTTAAAGAAAGGGAGATTTTCCCAATGCTTAGTTCATCTATTCCTTTTGTTATTGGGTCTGCCTTGTCCGCTGCAGTATTTTAAAGATTTTATTTTATTTTTTCAGATTTCTTTCTTTATTTATTTGACAGAGAGATAGAGAGAGCCAGAGAGCACAAGAGGGAGGAATTGCAGAGTGTTGATAAGGTGGTACAAACCACCCCCAAACTTCTTAGACCTATGGTTACAAAGCCACAACATAAATCAGTAGGTTTCATGCCACAGTAGGTTGTGATGTGGGACATTTAGCAAAAGAGCTCGGGCTAATTCTAGGCCTGCTGGAATTAACCTGCACAGCATTCTTGCCATGAAGTTATTTTGATACACGTGCACACACTTCTCTTGGGTGGAATTGCTAGATTACAGAGTCTGAAGATAATCAACTTTAGCAGATAATGCTGAAGATAATCATTTTTCCAGAGTTGGTGGTACCAATTTACAGTTCTACCAGCAGAGTATATGGAGTCTCACTGCTTTCTAAGACTGTCTTGTGTCCCTTTAAGTTTTAGTCATTCTGGTAGGTGTAGTGATATCTCATTGTATTTTTATTAGAATATTCCTGCTTACTTGCGAGGTGAGCCCCTTTTCATGTGCTTACTGGTCAGCTTTTTGTTATTGTGTTAGCCTTTTTTCTAACTGATTTGTCAGAAATCTTCCTTCTGATATGAGTTCTTTTGTACATGTATTTCAGATACCTTCTCCAATTCCCTACATTGCCTTTTAATTTTCTTAGTAGTGTCTTTTGACAAACAAATTCCTAATTCTAATAGAGTCTAGTTTATCAGTCTCTTCCTTTGTGGCTAAAGCTTTGAGGATTCTGTTTAAGAATTCTTTACTTCTCCCAAGATCGTGAAGCTCTCTACTTATGTTGTCAAAGCTTTATTGTTTTATATTTCACATTTAGATCTACAATCCACCTGGATTTATTTTTGTACATGATAAGGAAATAGAACAAGATTCATTACTTCGTATCCAAAAGAACTGTGGAATGCAACTCAAAGAAAGATGCGCTTACAGGGAAAATTCTAGACCTAAATGCATATGTTAGAAAAGAAGAAAAGCAAAAATCAATTATTTAACGTTCATTTTAAGAATTTAGAAAAAGAGGGGGCGGAGCAAGATGGCGGAGGAGTAGAAGACCTAGATTTCGTCTGGTCTCAGGAATTCAGCTGAATAGGGATCAAACCATTCTGAACAC